GCCCTCTCGCCCGCCCTCTCGCCCGCCCTCTCGCCCGCTCTTGGCTTGCCTGCCGGGCACTCGCCCTCCCGCCCACGGTCCACGCGTCGCAGGTGAGGATGAGCGGCGTAGGTGCACCCTTCTCCCGTTGACATTTTTTTTTACTTTGTTTCATGCCAATCATTAAATCATTTACCTGTTGACAGAGGTTTCTAGTGACCGAATTAAACTATGGCCAGTACTATTTACAATATTCCATGATCAATTGGACCTCCTATGGCCTGCATTAGGAAAGGCGATCTTCAGGTTACCAGCATGTTGTTTCATCGCGTATCATTTGAAATTGTTACGTGATAGAATGGTTGCTTCGACGAGAAATCACGAACATCTATTGTTTTTTTTATACACCTCGTAAATACTCAGATTCAGTTGTCACTCATTATGTTCACTTACACAATATTCTCTGTGTTCGAAATGGTGTTGTGATATCGACCATACGCGGAATTATCTTTTAAAATAATTTGAAACATGCAAATAAACAAAATATTCAACCTTCTTTAAATATCGTATACATATAACATTTTAATTTCTCGCGCTTAACAAGGAACTTTTTAATAACTTTTAGGAAGTTATGTAATGCTGCTCGAAAAAACGGCAAATTCTCGGCAGAAAAACTCATATTACAGGGCCCTAGTAATAAAAAAATGGGTAAATCCAGTTGTTAAATTTATAAACAAAATCCTCTAACATGTGGTGTAGCCTGTTTTGTGGGTCCTTGATACAAAAAAATTGTCTGTCTGTGAACAACGCTAGAGGATAAACCGTTCAGCCGAATATCTCCAAAATTGGTAAATAGTATTACATAACCATTACTAATGGCGAGACAGCAGTGCTGTATTAGCACCACTAGTTTATTTATAAGGTGAACAATTTTTTCATAATGAAAAGGGGAACTACAAATTTAAGGGGAAAAAATAAAACGTAAATAAATTAAACATTTTATTAAATGAAACAAGAATACCCTAATTATGCTCACGTCCCTTTTAATTATTTAATTAAATAAGCATTTTCCCATTGAATGTAAATTTTTGCTCATATTGAAAATTTCAGAACAAGAAATATCCTTCATTTTGAATTTTACGGAAGGCGCTGCAGTTAGAATATGAACAATCAAAATTGATTTCTCGCTTTTCCAAAAATCTGAAATACTGCAGCTGCAACTACTGAAAACGGTCAGAGTTCCTCCGATCTAGCAACACTAATAGCATTTTTCCGAACTGTACTGTCACAAGATGCGTAACATTTCGGCGTGGCATCTCTGAATGCAGAGATTATCATATTAGTTTGAAACTATCGAAAAGGTGGACAGGTAGGTTAATACTTTTTGAGAAAGGTCAGAACCTACAAAAGTAGGACTGTCCTCTTGAAAGGAGGACGATTGGTCACCTTATTATATATAATTTACATTAAAAAACTGAACGTATCCGACTGCGTTGAATTCTGTGCGCTGTTAATCAGGATGACATTATATTGATAGGTTCCGAATTATGGAGTCTAACCGATTAGAACCAATAACTCGAGTTTATACTCGTAGGTTGTGAGGAATCAATTATCTATTATTTATTAAGTAATGTATATATTGGAAGAAGTTGAATAGACAGGGATAAAAAGTGCACCATCCCGATTTTCACCTACCGTAACCAAGTAATTGGATTTAAAAGCTATGGGTTTAGTTTCCAAGTATTTACGCACCGATGATGACTGTAAGTTCTTTACAGGAGTGAGATGTCTAATTTGCAATCACTCTAAAAACAGTACTCTCACGCGTAAATGCACAAGCTCATTACTCAATGATTCTCTACATGAGACTGTTCACTTTATCACAGAATTAAAATAATATTTTTGTCAGCTTTGTGTATTAATCCATGCTTCATATTTGAACATCGTCTCACGTATTTGGCTTTTGTATTCGGACATTGAATATGTCTATATGTTGAAGATCTGAATTTCTAACAGATAAATAATGAATCTTTCAGGATGTTCAAAGGCGTAAATAGGAAACGTCCAATAATAAAATTGAGACTATAAAAATAGTAATTTATCAGTGAATATTCATTTAATTACTAAAGT